TGTTTGTTATGTTGTGTGTGGCCATGTCGCTGGTGTGTCTGTAGAAGGTGAGTGTGGGTTCTGAGGACTTCTCCTGCCCCAGGCCTCCCCTCTGAAGGGCCCAGTCCATGTCCTCGCCTGGCCTCGGAGTAGCGGGACAGTGGCTCAGCCAGTCTCCCCCGTCCAGTCCCCCAAAGCCACTAATTGAAGCCAGGTTCTGCGGGCTGCCCCTCCCCCTCTGGCCGCCATCCTGTGGATGGGGGTGGGGCGGCGGCTCTAGCCCCTCAGTTTCAAATTTAGGGGAGACCAGGCCTGGGATATGGATTTGCATTCAGGATCTCAAAGCAGAAGCATGACTTTGAAAACTCCACACTCTGACTGGACCCTTGTCTCCATGAATGGCCGTGAATGACCGACGCCTGCTCTCCCAGCACTGACCTTGCTTGTCCTCACAATAACCACCGAAGTGGCTGTTATCTCCATTCACAGACCAAGAAACTGAGGCTCAGGGAGGTGGAGGGCTGATCCCAGGACAGCTGGCTTGGAAGTGACCGTCTTACTCATGGGGAGCTGAGCCCTCTCTTTGGGGGTCCAGCTGCCAGCCTCGCCTGCTGGGCCACCCTGGGCAGGTCATTCCATCTCCAGACCCAAGTCCTCAGAATCCCAGTAAAAGGCAGCGCCCAGGAGGCTGGAGCCCCCATTCCTCTGAAAAGGGAGCCCCTGACCCACAACAGTCACCTCAGAGCTGTCTGGCCAGCTCTTCCTTCCTACAGGGAAACGGAGGCCCAGGGAATTATCTGTCTCTCAGTTCATCTCCTGGCAGCCCAGCTGACTCAGGTGAGGCTGTACCCTCTATCCCTTGCTTCCCCCTTTCCCAGGGAGTCAGGAAGGGGTGCAGGGTCCCCAGCATCTTGTGACACTGTAAAGAGCTGTGTCTGTGTGAGCTTGAGGAATGGGGCAGGCTCAGGGCCAGTGTGTGTGTGTGTGTGTGTGTGTGTGTGTGTGTGTCAGAGAGAGTGTGAGAGAAAGGGAGTGTGTGAGTACCTCCAGATTCCAGCATGGCCAGAGCTGAGAAACCCCATCAAGGAGAGAGGGTAACAGTGAGCCAGTGTCCGGCTGGGTGAGACCAGGGTGGGAAAGACTGGCTGACCCTGGGGCTCCCCAGGGGCCGGGATTCCACCACTCCTGAATTCCATCTTTCCTCTTGGTGCGGGGCCCACTTGTCAGTACCAGTCACTTTCTGACCTTCCTCTCTCTGGTCCTAACGGTGCTGTGAGGGGATGCCTCTCACTCTCCCTCCTCCCTCCGTTTCCAGGTGGGGACAGTGGGACCCTGGAGGGTGGGATTCTTGTCCAGCCCTGAGGTCCTAGTGCCTTCCTGTGCCTCACTTTGCTGCCGCTGCCCCCCAGAGCCCCAGAGAGCACATTTCACAACCGTCCCAGCTCCGGAGCCTCTAGTTCTCGGCCTTCCCTTAACCATCTCTGTGGGCTTGATTTGAGGTGGAGGGACCTGAGGGTGACAGGAAGGACAAAATTGCTTGTTGACTATTCCCACTGACAAAGATGGCCAGTGTGTGTGTGCGCGTGCAAGCGTGAGAGATATTTGTGTGTGACTGAGTGTATGTGTGTGTGGTGTGCGTGAGCCATGACTGTGTATAGGGTTGGGTGTGTGATGTTATGTGATTGTGTGTGTGAGGGATATGTGTGGGATGTTTGTGTGTGATATGTGTATGTCAGTGTCATGCTTGTGTGATGTGTGATGTGCGTTGGTTCGTATCTGTGTGTGCATGTGTTGAGTATACGCATGCGTGTGTCTTTCTCAAGGTGAGAATCTAAGTGTAATAAGTGTGGTTGTGGCTGTGGTTCACAGATGGTGTAGGAATGTGTGCGGGGTGTGTGTGTTTCCGTGGTGTGAGTGTGCAGTGAGCCTGTCCGATCCACTGGGCTCCTGGAAGCCCTGCTCTGTGGCTACGAGCTGCATCCTGGGGCGTCACTTCTGCCTGCACCTCTGCTTCCCATTCTGTGGAGACCCAGGCGCCCAGCCACAAGGTCTCACAGGGCTGAATCCACAGGGAGAGCTCAGAAGCAAGCATGCAATGACCAGTGTGGTTAAAAAGAAGCCCTGTTTGAGCATTTCTGCCTCTTTTTTGTGTCCTGGGATCCTTTCTCCTCTAGTCTTCTATGCTCCTCTCCTCTATGCTTCGCCTCACATACTTTGGATGTGTTGCTAGGAGGGGCTATTACTTGGAGAAGGACATTATGCTGGGAAGGGTGGAGGGTTGGTGAAGGAGAGGTAGACCCTCAACCAGGTGGATTGACACAGTGACTGCAGCAATGGGCTCTTGTGTGTCAGGAAGTGTTAGGATGGTGCGGGATAGAACAGGGTTCAGATCTTGTGTTCATAAAGTGGCTGTGAGTTGTGCTCAACTCAGTGGCACTTAATAACAACTATCTTTTGGAGAAAGCTACAAAGGCCATGAGAGCCAATTTGTCTAAATTTATTTCCTTCGGTATGATGATTTCCATTTGTTACACTGGAGTCAGGAGGCCCCATGGTGGAGCTTCTTTCTCCAAGATGAGCAGGACCTCAGATAGGAGGTGTGACATGCAGTGGGTGTGGTGAGCCTCTATTCTATCAGGCCCTTGCTCTGTGACTTGTGCCTGTAGCCTCTGTCTGGATCTGTAAAGAGGACCGACCTCATGCAGGGCATAAGAGGCTTCTGGCCTTCAGCTTCTGGGGCGCTGAGCACCCCCATTAGGCCAGGAGGGGCTCCAGGGAGCGTCTTGGCTGTTGCTGAGTTTGCAGAGAGCGAAAACCAGGCTCCCCATAAACTCAGGCCTAAGGGATTTATTAATCAGCTGGGATGACTGGTCCAGATGGGGTCTAGGGGTTCATGCTGGGAGCAGCCTCACAGAGTAAGGGGGGAGCTGGCATCTGGTTCCCATCTAGTGTGCGAGTGGGGGTGGGGTTAGCAAGCTCCAGTTTTGCCTGTGTGCCTCGAAGTGGCCATTGTCCCCCACCCCAGCCCCAGCCTCCAGAGTCGCCTGGGGAAGGAGCTTGAGCTGATGGAGGTTTTGTTCTGAGCTGCAGCATGGAGCCAAGAAGTCTCCTAATGTGTGTGTGGAGGGATGAGGGCCCAGGCAAATGGCACCACACTGGGACTGGGGACTGCTGGGAGGGGCTTTCAGGGGAAGAGGCCCTGAGTCCCTCACTCCATGCTCCCCTGCTCTGCCATGTCCATCACTTCTCCCTGCATTCTTGGTCCCTCATACTCCCTGTCTCACTTTCCCTATCTGGAAAATGGACATGTAATAATTTCTCTGATCAGAAATTCTGTATAAGAAACTGAAGTTGATGCTTGACTGTCAGGTCGGCTCTGACTCCTAGTGTGACCCCATCCTTGCACGACTGAAACCAGTCCTGCCTCATCCCCTGTCACCATCTCTGTATGTGTATTGGCACATGGTAAGTAATAAATGACCAATTCATTGTTTTCTCATCCTTTCCAATTTTTTAAATTTTATTTTAATAATTTTAATGAACATTTACAGAGATTTTGGATTTCCATTCACATCGTTTCCAATTTATGGCAGCCTTACATATGCTGCTGTTTTCTTGCTGGTTTCAGAAATAGATTGCCAGGCCTTTCTTCCAAGGCATCTTTGTGTCAACTTGAACAATCAACCTTTCAGTTAGCCACCAAAGGTGTTTGCCAGCTCTGGCTGCCTAATGGCAAGAAGCTGCGATGCTCAAAGGCACGTAGTTCAAATCCACCAGCTGCTCCGCAGAAGAAAGATAGGCAGTCTCTTCCCATGCGATTAACTGCCTCTGAAAGCCTGCCCATGGGTCAGCTCTGGGTCGGTTCTGACTCAATGGTATGCAGTAGCAGCCATACAAAGATTCCAATCTACACACCACCGTCAGCCATTCAGTCAGAAACATTGATTTAGCACCAGCCTATATCAAACAAGGCCCCCTGATGGCACAGTGTTAAGCACTAAATTGCTAGCTGAAATGTCAGTGGTGTGAACCCACCAGCCGCTCTGTGGGAGAACCGTGCGGTCCTGCTTCTGCGAAGGTTGCTGCTGGTGTTACATGCTGTGGAGTCGAAATTGACCCGTAGCTGACCCTCAGCAGGTTGTCAGAGGCAGTAAAGCGCCCGTCTTTCTCCCCAGGAGCAGCACTTGATGGACTGGAACAGCTTATGTTTGGGGTGGCAGGGAACCTCTCTAACACTAAGCCACTTGAGTTCTCTTCCTCGAAGATTCTTGTTGTGTACCAGTGAGTCAGAACCACCTCCAGTGGGTTTTCAGAGGCAGTAAATCACACGGGAGGAGACTGCCCACTGTTCTCCCATGGAGCAGCTGGTGGATTTGAACCTGTGCTCTTGGGTTGGCCCTATACTCCTAACCTTGGAAACCCTATTGGGAAAGGTGTATTCAGTCCCATCGGGGTTCCTCTGGGATGGCATTTGACTCAATGGCAGTGGGTTTACCAGCAGAGGTGGCCCAGTAGAGGTGGCCACGGGTGGGCCAGCAGAGGTGGCCGTGGGTGGCCCAGCAGAGGTGGCCATGGGTGGACCAGCAGAGGTGGCGGTGGGCGGGCCAGCAGAGGTGACTCAGCAGAGGTGGCCGTGGGTGGGCCAGCAGAGGTAACTCCGCAGAGGTGGAGGTGGGCGGACCAGCAGAGGTGGCCATGGGTGGACCAGCAGAGGTGGCTGTGGGCGGGCCAGCAGAAGTGGTCATGGGTGGCCCAGCAGAGGTGACCCAGCCGAGGTGGAGGTGGGCTTACCAGCAGAGGTGGCCATGGGTGGGCCTGCAGGGTTGACCCAGCAGATGTGGCCATGGGTGGCCCAGCAGAGGTGGCGGTGGGCGTGTCAGCAGATGTGGCCATAGGTGGCCCAGCAGAGGCGGGGAAATTCGGAGGAAGAGAAGTGATTTGTTAGAACAAGTCTGGCCACCTCCTGCTCCTGCTCAGACCTGACTGTCCCCCTCCGTGTCCCCTCAGGCCCGGGAGGCAGCATGGCCCTGGCGGCCACCCCCACCCTCGTCTCTCTGCTGCTGCTGCTGAGCGCGGGGCGCGCGGCGAGCCACTCGGTGCCAGTGCAGGCGGCCTTCCTGGAGGAGGCGGGCGGCAGCGGGGAGGCGGAGGGCGCCTCGGCCTCGGCCTCCAGCCTGGCGCCCCCTCGGACGCCGGCCCTGGCCCCCACGGCGCTGGGGGTGCAGCCCACGGCGCTGGAGGGCCCCCCGCCGCCCACCAACTTCCTGGACGGCATCATGGACTTCTTCCGCCGGTACGCCATGCTCATCGCCGTGGTGGGCTCGCTGGTCTTCCTGCTCATGTTCATCGTCTGCGCCGCGCTCATCACCCGCCAGAAGCACAAGGCCTCGGCCTACTACCCCTCGTCCTTCCCCAAGAAGAAGTACGTGGACCAGAGCGACAGGGCCGGGGGTCCCCGCACCTTCTGCGAGGTCCCCGAGAGGGCGCCCGCCGAGCGGCCGGAGGAGGCCTTGGACTCGTCCCAGCAGCTGCAGGCTGACATCCTCGCCGCCACCCAGAACCTCAAGTCTCCTGCCAAGGTGGCCCCTGGTGGCGGGGACACAGCCAGGATGACAGAGTGCAAGGCTGAGGAAGTGGAGGAGGGCACCCCTGAGGGGGCCTTGGCCTGCAGCGCCTCCCTGGGCACCCCCGAGCTGCCCCAGGAGCCCTGCTCAGCTGGGACCCAGGGAGCTGCAGTGGCTGAAGGCCAAGGGGAGTCAGATGTGGTGCTTCAGTCAACCCAGGAAGCTGGAGACCCCGCCGAACCCCCTGAAAGCCCTTGTGCGTGCAGCAGTGCCACCCCTGAGGTCTAAAAGCCCCGCCCTGCCTGTGGACCCTGAAGGATGGCCACCTCCTTGGGCGTGAGGAAGCCTTGAGTGCTCCCAGACACCCCCTCCTCTGAAATCCTTCTGTAAACCCCTGAGCACCCTGATCCAGCAGAGGTGTGTCTCCCTGTCCCGCACCAGCTGTTCCCCTAAATTCTAGTACATTTGCCTCTGCAGCCCCCAGGCTGCACCCCTGAACAAAGCTCCCTGGGCAGGTGGCACATGTCCTATTGGGGTCACACTAGAAGGAATTCGGAAATCCGCGGGGTATACTGGGAAATAAGCCATACATCCACCCTCTTCCTTTGAGGTAGAAGGCGGGGCCAGAGGGAGGAGGTGTTTTGGAAAGGGTCAAAGGGCAGACTCACGGGCCTGGGCTGGTCAAGCACAATGCAGTCTGGGGTGGATCCCTATTATTAGACCCCCTCCAACCACTGGGGTCACTCTACCTCCTTCTGGAGCCACTGCAGCGAAAGTGGGAGAAATTAATATGGGAACTTCCTTCAGCAAGGGACACCATACACACCCCTTCTTCAAGGGATCCCACACACAGGACAAGCCCCAAAGGAGCATTGCACAGGATTTCAAGTGAGTGGAGAAACTGTCCTCTCTCTACTTCGCATTTAGGGCTCCCCGGTGCTCTGACACGCCCTGTACTCAAGTCCCCGGAATTTGAGTTTATCCAACCTGTTGCTTTAAAATTCCTTTGGACCACGGAGGATTTTCTTTTTCTTATTTTTGTTTTTTATACTGACAAAGGAAATTTCTGTGACACTCGCTCTGGAAAATACTGCCTTCCGTTTTCCCGAGCCCCACCCCCATTTCTCACTCATAGTTTTGGGGTGTGGGGTGTGGACTCCTACTCCCCAAGAATCTTCTCTCTGGGAATGAATTGGGGTGAATAAGTCAGACCTTTCCCTTTAGGCCCAAAGCAGCTTGGAAGCTGAGGGCTATGTGAGGAGGCCCCCACTCTGGGGAAAGCCGAGGGGGTAGCAAAGGGTTCTGAGGCCCAGCCTGGAGCAGGGGCTCCAGCTCCCACACATTACTCACACCTGTGGTCTGACAGCCAAGTCCACAGCATCTTAGCTTTGACAGGGAGCCTGGGCTCCAACCTGACTGGGGGTCTGGGGGCTCCCCACATGCCACTGTCTGGAACTTCTCCACACAGCCTTCGGGCACTGAGATATCTCAAACAAGCACAATAAACTTCTGTTTCGCTTGTATCTTGCTGCCTTTCTGCTGGGGAAGTGTGTCCCCTGGGGCTGTTCTGCGAGGGTTGGGTGGACACATCAGCTCGCCTTAGATCTGAGTGGACACATTGGGGTGTGTAAATGAGAAAGAACAGTTCCCTTAAGAACGAGGGCAGGAGTGTGCGTCCCCAGGCCTAAGAACAGCTCCTGGCTTATGGATGTGATGTGGCCTGGCCCAGTCCCTCAACTTTTTTGGGTATGGGGACTCTATGCGCTTGCTGTGTGATCACAGTGAAGCAGCTGCCTGTCTCTGTTTCTTGGTGGTGGTCAACTGGAGTGGCTGAGCGGCCTTTGCCTTTGTCTCTGCAACACCAGGCCTTGCACCACAAGTTCTAGGTGACTCCTCCCCCCTCCTCCCAGACCACGGAGCAAACAGCTGGGATCCAGATGAGGCTGGGACTGGGAGCATGTTAGGGGTTCCTAGGGCGATGGGGGCAGGGTGGCCATTCCTCCAGCAGCCCTCCACTCCTCCAACCCCACATCCGTTCCCCACATCCGTCTGGGGTGGGGTGGGTGGAAGGTTTTGGGTTTCACAACACACAATGGCCACTGTCTGGCGCAGTCGGGGAATGGCCTCTGCCCAGCCCAGCTGCAGCCCAAGAAAATCAGTAAGTCTGTCCCTGGAAGCTGTGTGGTGCTGGCCAAGCCTCTTGACCTCTCTGGGTGTGACAAGTCCTCTGCTTCTGGGAGGTCCCAGACTCTAGGGCCAGACTGCGATGTGTGCAAAGCTTTCCTACCTGAAGATTTTAGATGGGGGATCTTTGGAGAGGAGCTGGGAGTGGTTCATCCTCAGCTCCCTGCTGCGTGAGCAACTCCCGGCGATCCTTAGGCTCCAGTGTAGAATAGGGCTCTGGCAAGTCCTCAAGGCTCTGCGTGTGTGCCAGGTCTTTCTTCCAAGGCATCCCTGGGAGAACTTGAACCCTCAACTGTTCAGTGCCTAACCGTTTGCACCACCAGAATCGATGGCAGCTAGTCTGGCCTGCTGCCGCTGCTGATTAAATACTGTCTTGTTTGTTCTGACCCATAGAGGCCCTACATACAGAACCGTCGTCACATCCTGCACCATTGTCACAGTCTCCCCCACACTGAGCTCCTCTGTCACTCAGTCACTGTGTCAGTCCTTCTCTTTGAGTGTCTTTCTCTCCGTTGCTGAACCTTTGCTTCTCTAAGCATGAGGTTCTTTTCTAAGGAGTCTTTACTGAGTTGCACTGCTAATCCATACATCTCTGGTGGTTCAGATCTACCAGCAACCTGAAAGGAGAAAGCTGGGCGGTCTCCTCCCATTGCGATTTTCAGCCGAAGAAACCCAAAGAAGGGGCGCTGTGCGTTGGAATCCTCTTGTGGACAATGAGGGAGTGAGCGAGTGAGAGGCCCCTCGTGATAACATACCCAAAGCACGTGAGATGAACTCCCCTTGTCCTTGCGTCTAAAGAGCACTCCAGCTGCACTTGTTTTTTGGTTAGCAGCCTTCACCCCATTAATGCTCATCTGCACCCTCCAGAAGATAATGGAGTGAGGCCTTACCAGAACCTTCATCCTCCCAAAACGTCTTCTTACTGCATCATCCAGTCAGAACCAACCCACAGCTGATCCTCCAGCAGCTTTGCAGAGGTAGTAAATTGCACCAGAGATTTCCCATCCTTCTCCAGTGGAGTTGCTGGTGACTTTGAACAGCTTACCTTCAGGATTGCAGCTCAGCTTCTCACCAGCTGTGACCAGAGTCTCAGCCCAGGAGTCGATCTCTCTGTCTCTGAACATTTGTATCCTCTGTTCCCACTGTGTATGTCACCCTTCATACTACTCACCTTTTGTTTCTAGGCCAATATCCCCTCCTCCTGGGCATCTTCCTCCCTAGACTCCACCTGATCTTTAGGTCAGCCTATGATATTACTCGGTGTGTCTGTGTTATGTGCTATCAAGTCTGAACCAACTCATAGCTGACCGTCCAGGGGGTTTTCAGAGGCTGTAAATCACATGGAAGGAGATGGACCATCTTTCTCCCATGGAGCAGCTGGGAGACTCGAACCACCTGTCCTTGGCAGTGCAACTCCTTACCACTAGGACCACCAGAGCTTCCAATAATACCAGCTACAAACAAACAAACAAACAAACAAACAAACCCCTGTTGTGTACTAGGAGTACCTGGATGGTGCTGACACTTAAGCTGCCAATCAAATCTTTGACAATTCATGCACATCCATGTTTATTGCTGCATTACTCACAATAGCAAAAAGATGGAAGCAATCTAAGTGCCAATCAGCAAATGAATGGATAGGAAAAGATAGTGCATTTACACAGTGGAATATTATGCAGCATTGAAAAAGTGAGCTCATAAAATATTAACATGGGGGAGCCTGGAGGACATTATGCTGAGTGACATATCTCAGTCACAAAAGGACAAATACTGCATATCATTGCTATTGTAAAATAGGACAGGAGTTGGGTTGGGGAGAGAATGTAAAAGAGTGGATGGATAAGGAGTACTTCATTAGAACAGATGGATAAGATGAGGCATTACATGCATGACAACAATCTGGAACAACGGGTTCATTACCGGGTGGGCTGAGGGGGGAGAGAAGAAAAATGTACAACAATGAAAAAAATACTTAAAATAAAAAATCAACTTGACAATTTGAATTGACTCAGAGAAACTTTGGAAGAGAGTTCCAGAAATCTGCTCCCAGAAGGCAACAGTCCCAGAAACCCACACGGAACCTAGTTCTACCCTGCATCTGGTGGGTTTGGACAGAATAGACTTGACAGCAATTGTTTTGACTTTTTCGTCGTAACATTATTCTGAACAACTGATACCCTTCACTCACTGATCCCCCAAAACCCCCAGCTAGGCAGTGCCATGGTCCATCTGTCACAGAGAAGCAAACTGAGCCTCAGAGAGGTGATGCCTACTGCCCAAGTCACACAGCCAGGATTCCAACATAATCCCAAGACCTGAGCTCTCCTCCCCAACTTCTGTGATTTCTTTGGTGAATGAATGAATGAGTTAATGAATGAATGAATAAGTGGAGCCCTTAGGGAGTAGAAAGCAGGGATTCACCCCCATTTAGTAGTCCTCTGGCCTTCTCTCCACTTCTGTGAGAGAGTTAGGCAGAAAAGAAATTTTTTAAAAAATAAACTTACTATACTGGTTTACTTGCTAAGTTTGTATACATTGCTTTTCACACCTGATCTTTCCCATCAAATTGTGTGACCCTACGATTAATTACTCCCACCTCCCACCCATCCTCACCTTCCCGCTCCCTCCCTCCCCTTGGTTCCTTGTGCTCATTCTACAGTAATGGTCTTATACAGTATTTGTCCTCACGGGACTGAGTTAGTTCACTCAGCATGATGCTCTCCAGTCCCTCCCATGTTAGGTAGTAATTTACAAAATCATTGCTCCTGCCTGTGAGTAATATTCCATCCTGTGAATGTACCATAATTTCTCAATCCATTTGATTGTGGTTGGACATTTGGGGATCTTCAGGGCACCTGAGCTAGCTCTATGCAGAAGACCCTGGGTAGGGCGGAGGACTGGGTTTAGGGGCGGGAGGAAGAAAGTTCTTCTGTTTCCAGGGGGCTGGGAGTCTGTCAGGGCTTGAACAGGCCCTTACTGTCCCGGGCTTGTAAACTGCACAGCTGTCCCAGCCTAGGAGTGTGTCCCAGGGCCGGGCTTGCTGTCACCATGCAGAGGAAGGGGAGATGCACCAAGCCACCGAGACACAAGTCCCCTCCCCTAGA